CTAGTACAATAGAAGTATATAGTTTTAAATTATTACATTAATTTATTGTAACCCTTTCACTTTGTTGCTTGACGTTCGCTGTTCGCTTTGTCATACGGGCTTTTATGGGGAAAATTCTCATTACCAAGGTTGTTTGAATGTATTAATTGTTTAATAAATACTATGTTTACATTATGTAAATATTATAATAACCGCAAAGCCTTGAATAGTAGGATAACGGAAAGTAGGTCATTACTCCATTATGTCTACCGGATTTCCGGCTATCTGAAATAATGGGGGATAGATTATTGCTTGACAAACAGTTCAATATGATAATATATAATATCCATAGACTGATATCAAAACGCGAGATCATACTTCACAGCTTTCCAAAGATGGGTAGTATAACCTGGAATGGAATTTTAACAATCATTTAATATTCAGATTTCCCAGACACGTCGATAAAATTGTAAATTATTTTAAGGACCGTGTTAGCCTTTGTAGAAATCGAATTCACGACCCTTTGATTGTTATTAGCTAAATATTTTTATTAAAATATAAATTGTAGCAACTACGCTGATGATTGCCGTGTCAAATCAAATTGTGAAATAAAAAACCGATAATACATTTCAGGTTACCCGCTAACCCGAATGTTGGACATTTTCCTCGATAGATAACTTGGCTCTTACCATAGATAACATTTGCCCTCTCAAATGAAGAAGGAATTCAACGATACATACTTTTGTAAATATGTTACTTAATCTTGTTTCCTGGTAAAGATAAAGTCCTAAATATGGCAACAAATCAATTGGGTTCACTCCTCACAATCGCTTCCTAATTTGCGCGTAAATACATTTCTTTGAAATTTAAATTTGACCACTTTAAGGTCTTGACTTTTACCTTAGTCTATGCCTAAAGTATTTAAGTTTGTAGTTTACGCGAGTAGTATACATTTAAATAAAGCACTTTAACGGTTAAAAACGCGTTATGTATTATAACTAATAACAAAACTTTAATAACTTATTTGAAAATTATTCCAACTACAGCCCGACTTTCGGATGCTTTGCAGGAGCCGTGGTCACGGAGAGACTATGGAGAGATGGAGACCACGGCTGCTGCAAAGAATCCGAAATGTGGGGCCATAGTGAAAATAATTTTTTTAAGTTAAGTCGTTAGACTATTTAAATATAACATTTATAGTTCACAACAATCGCGTTTTAAACCGTTAAAATGTTTTATTTAAGACTATTTAGTCCATGCCTATTAATTTAAAGGGGATTCATTCCAAAATACACCTTGACTAAGGGTAGGGTATGTCTGTTTCAGAAGTAACGACTTTTTGTCGTTCTGTCGACTTTTCGATTTTATTGCGCTACTACGCTAAAATACTTACTGTATACGTATTGTTACAGTTTAAAACGCGTCATTTATAAATCTTACTAACTTAGTTTTTAAGACTTACATACTCATTGACTCCCCGGGATTTTAGTGTTACTAACGAAGAAAAAACCTAATAAATTGTAAATACTAGCAGTTTATTTTTATTATGTAATTACGTATGTACATAATTACCATACAATCGACGATTATTTCGTAACCCTTGAACTGCAAACATTTGTATTAAAATAAATTAAATATATTATATCACTCGTTTTTTGCTAATTGTATTCGGGCATGTGTTTTTGTTCAACGACATAAGTTATTCTTGTTCATGTATTCATGCATTATTTATTAATAGGTTTAGTATTTCTAGATGACAGCAGAATAACAAATAATAATTGTTGGTTTATTTACAAGAATAATTAATGAATTAATGTACTTGTTCATAGATTCCACTATACCAGAGTCATATTACGATATAACGACCGCAAACATTCTAAATTTAAAATTATAACGAAAGTTCGTCAGATGAAAAATCCGTCAAGTTTAATCGCGTTTGGGTTTCAGTCTGTGGATTTCCGAATTTCCAAAGCCAAAATAGATTGACGGCACATTTTTTTTAGATGTTATATTCACTTAGGAGTTGTTCACATAGTTTGTCTGTCCGCTTCAATCTTACTAACATTATAGTACTGATTATTGTATTGGGTTACAAAAAGGTAAATTCAATCTTTTTTATTCTTCTTGTCTTAATGCTTAATTTATAACAAGACACCTATTCTAATATAAATAGTAATCAGTGTAAAAAAAATTGTTCTTTATAAGTTCTAAGCCAAAGCAATTGATAAGACAGTTGTGGTGACGTTCGATCCTCTAGTAAATTATACAGAAAAGTACAATGTTTATGAGAAGAACTTAAGAAGGCACTTAAGTAATATCGCCAATAAGGAAATCGCAATAGCGAAGAAGAGAGAATTGGAGAGCATATCGTAATGTTAAGATGCTGGATCTTATTTAGCGCACTTCGTAAACATAGTACGTCCTTCTTCAAGGAAAATCACGATATTACTTTGTCCCAGCGCCTTTTTTTCCTAATACATTGCCTACAATATATATCTGTGGATATTTATTTAATGCAACAAATAATTCAAAGTAAAAAAAGTATTAAAATGGATACATTAAAAAAATATTTTTTCTATATTACACCATAGTCTTTCAAACCAGTACTTTAAAAATATTAACGGTTTAAAACGCGATATATAGTTAAGTTATTTACAATTAATTTTAACTACGGCACGAGGTTGTGTATGGTTCTCAGCAGCAGTGGTCATGATGGGACTCAACAAGTAAACTGTTGAAAAGTTACAGACAGCAGTGTTCAAATTTATATTTTATTCATGAGATAATATCAACAAGGGGGTTCCGATGGTTCAGCAGACTGAAAAACCAATAATGGAGCAGCTATTTGACACCTCACAGATCATATCATGTATATAATATGTATCGAAATAATCTTGTCATAGTCATGTCATTCCTATAAATATATTTAGTTTTAAAGCGTGAATTATTCATTCTATTTCACTTTTTTGATTATTATATACTATACTAGCGGTGTCAGCGACTTCGTCCGCGAGAATCGTTATTTTGTGGATCCAAATTCCGTTTTTGCAAACCCCTTCATCTTCATAAAAATAAGCTATTACCCACGACGTCAGTCGCCTCCCTTCCCGTTTTCGTTTTTGAGGATTAATTCTTTCATACATATTTTTTGGGCATCCTGCACCGTTCTTACAGCGTACCCTCGGTAACTCTTTGCTTCTTCGCTCCTATATATTGTCACATCGCGATATATAGCCTTTCCCTGTAAATGCTCTACCCAACACAAAAATATTTTATAATTCGAACCAGTATTTGCTGAGATTAGCGCGTTCAAACAAACAGACAAACGAACTCTTCAGCTTTATATATTAGTATAGATTGTATTTTATTATAATTTTATGATCCATGTTAAAAATTAAGGCTTGCAGTGTATTGTGGCCAATACCACACTACACTCAGTAATTTACTAAAAGTACTATCACTTACGTCATAAATACAATATATATTAATTATCGTACACAAACTTGACACTATTATTTCGTCTACTCTCCTTTTTATTTCGAATTTTCAATCATATCATGTATTCTAATCCTAGTTTTACATTTTTTACCCATTAAAAGAGCACAACGCCGCTAAGGAAGGTGTCATTTAAAAAACATGCAAAGGTTTGCCATCCAAGATATGTTTCATATACTATGCTGTGATTAAGATTTTAAACCTATAATATTCCGTGTTAAAGTATAAATTCCAATTTGATTCGTTGAAAAAAGGTGGAACACCCAATCTCTGACATCTAATGTATATATGTATCTATATATCGACCTATTTTAACATTAGACATTGGAAAAACACAGACTACCTATGGACAGTTCGCGTACTTACTTCATGTAACAATCTTCATCCCGATTCAATGAAATAGCTGTAATTTACACTCGAAGCACGTCCTTTGTTCATCTCGAAACGTTGATTGTGAATACAAATTAGCGTTATTATGTCAGAAAATATAATTACTTAACCTTAATCCTTTATCGCTTGAGATTTGTAAATTGTACTACTGTTAATTGGTAGCGTTTGTATACGTGAATATGCTAATTAAAAATATATTATATAACCAATCCATTCCATTCGCTGTAATTTCCATATTCATGTTTAGCTTTTACCTAAAGCTTCTTTATTTGGAATTTACTGCTAGTAGTTAACAAAAGACTTTAATTATTATATTTATAATACTCTGTAATTTGTATTATTCCTTCCTTAAGAGTAACTTGATTAGAAAATTTTGGTGAAGTAAGACAATTAGAAGACGAATTCGAAACACGCGCCAAAATTCTTATTTAAATGTAATAACTGCTTTCTTAGAAACATAATCAACTTACGTTCCAATGGACTCATAATTACTGAATACTTAACAATTACAATTACAGACCTCAAGAGAGGTTGAGATAAATTAATAATGTTAATTGTCTGTATGACATTTTTTATTCTTTATTGACCGTAAATCCTGCGAATATTTTATTTAATTCCTAATGGAACATACGAACTGAAAAAAGATGCCCTTAGACTATTCAGCCGACATATCATTTGTTTAACTATGCAAATAGCAAGATTGTTAAATTTAATTGATGTATTTAACGCTTTTTTCACGACACAGAAAAATAAGTAATTTTTAAATCGTAATTTTAATCATTAATCATGAAAGTAATTGATAAATAAATGTAAAATCTATAATTAATATATAAAAACACGATACAATGTTTTTTTCTATCCAACTCTAATGGTCGCTTAAATCTATTTAATTTTGTGTGTTACATGTTATTAAAAAAGGTGTAAGGGCCGCGACAAGAAACACTTTTAAACAGTATTTATTAAACGAAATGTATTACTTTCTGGTAATTGTCATTCAGTTTAAGTTGAATAATGTTTTGATATACGAAAACAAGTGTTACGTTTTTACCTTTAAAATATTTTAAGTGTTGCTATGTACCACGTAAGAATACAGCTTGATAAAACACAGCAACATTTACTCATTTAAGTACCCAATATCACTGTATTAATTTTTCACGCCAATGAGACCAGGACTGTATAAGACTTTGGAGCTTAGCACCAGGACTCAGAGTTGCTGATAGTTGGCCATGACCAACTAGATCGTAATTTTCGTCCAGGCTTTCATTATTCACGCTACACGACAGAAAATCTTGTGCAGCCTTCAAAGCTTCTTCGGACGGTAGTGAGTCTGAAATAATTATGATTTCAATACTAATTGCTAATTCCCCTCTAGTCACCTTGACTCAGCCTCTACGTGTTATGCACAAAAACTATTTTTCACCTGTTGCACATAATGGCATTATATAAATTTAAAAACGATTTTAGATTGACAAAACTTTATGGACAGACACACACAGATTACGATTTTTTATAATTTATACAAACCTCGAAAATCTCCAATAAACGATATTCCTATAGACTTGTCATTAAATCCTTTTGTATGTGCACCCACGTGCCAACCAGATCCTTCATAAACCTTTCCATGACTGCTAATGTAGAACCTGAAACGATATTATCATAATTAATGAGTATAATGTCCCGTACGTTACGTAAAGGTAATTAAACTAAAATATACGCTTTATTCTAAGGAGACATTTTATAATATTTTTAACTACCTCCCGTTTATAAATGCAAGATGGCGTACGAATAGATGATATTGCCTTTAAAGAATTATACATTCACAACTATAATTTGTAATCAAAACTAAAATTGGATTAAATTAATTTAACTTTACTTCTTTTATTAAAAAATCAAACACTTTTAAAACGCAAAATTTACTAGTTAACTTTTTTACAACTTATATTAACAACGGCCCAACGTTTCGAATGCCTTGCAGGTGCCGTGGTCACGAGGGGATTGAAGATGAGGGTGTCCCTAATGTTGAAGAAAAAACTGCTAAGCAATCATTGTTATGTTATTCAAATGAAAATAAAATTACGTGTGTGTGACTTTAAATAGAAATTATCCTTCTAAAAGCTAAAAAAATAACTTTTAAACTCATACTTGATATTATTACTTACTACTCAAATGTGAGTACAAACGTTGAACGTACAACACAGCAGCGCAAAGACAATACATTGCCAAATAAAAGCTATTGAAGATAAAGTACTCCGTAACAAAAATCATAAACGCTTTTTCTGGTAACTCCTATTTTCCTGGTACCCAAGATGAATGGTTATCAAGGGAACGTGTACTGTATACATATTGACAAACTTACGAATTCCCTATGTCTTTGAACTTTAGTCTCTCTACGTGTTTTTCCCTCACGTTAGACAATAGAGTCTTGCACGTCTCATCATCAGAGCAAGGCGCCGTTGCGCTATGTTGAATCACTACTAGATGGACTGGTTTCACCAAGTCTACTGGGTCGCTTAATGGCTTTGAACTCCATTCTGCGATATCCACCACGCCACAATTGAGATCTGTAATTTGATTTTCTACCTAAAGTAATATATTCTCTAGCTAATGACTAACATTGTCGCTGTGTATGATAGGGAATATATAAAATTAATCTTTTTGGTTGGTGGTTCTAAAAGGGATTTCATATTTCTACCCATTTAATTCAGATTTCCAGGTGAAATCCAGTCAGAATAATTATAAATTGATTAGTGGCCCTTAGGACGCGGTGGGGATCGAACCCACGACCTATTAATTATTAGTCATACAGCAAGGAGCCAACCCAAATTTTGACATTTTGTATAACTATGCAATTAAATAAAACACTTTAACGGTTTAAAACGCAATATATTAGTCAAACTTATTTGAAAATGTTTTTTTTAACTTCGGCCCGACGTTTCTAACTTTCCAACGCATGTAAAAAACAGGCTGACGTATATATCGCGTTTTAAACCGTTAAAGTGTTTTATTTCAATATGTACTACTCGCGTAAACTATAGACAGTTTTAACATACAATTTTGAATTTTCGTTATGGCTTCTTCTAAAACAACACGTACCTGCAGCACTTATCAATTCAATAATTATAGTAACAAAATATAAACACAACATTTTCTCGTGTACACTATTCACATTAACAATAACGGCACTAAGGAACTGCATAAATATATAATTAGAAGTATCCTTAAGGTAAATCCCATTCTCTGAAAAGATCTACATTTCTAGATGAAACCTTAGAAATAGTTTTTCACCTCAAACTCATTAGTCATAACTTTGAATAATTACGTAAATGCGATATACTGAAAAGAAATTAAACGACAATTAATGCGGTATTAATAATGTTCTTACCAGCCATTGTTATAAGAAATGAAATATCATCTCTGTAAATGCCTTCCATACCTCTTTTATTTTGGAGTCCTAAAGGCTTTTAATGAAGTTTCGTAAATTAATAGTTCGAAAACTAGTTGATCTCAACTATAAACGAACTTTATCAATTTGAAACAGTCGAATTAACTTTCACCTGACAAAAAAATAGAAAACAATGTGTTTTAGACCAATTTATGCTAAAATTCAATATTACATCATAGTGACTAACACAAATATTAGACGACCTGAGTCAAATCGTTATTAACCCAACTAACATTCTCATTAGATATGAAACAATTTACAAAATAAAAGTAACATTCTTACTATGTTATAAATAAATTGTATTTACAACAACTGACATATAGGAACTAGAATTAATCTCCAATATAAAGATAGCTATTGTAAATATTTTGTACTAAAAATAACAGGCTTAGGAGCATGCTACATTACATAATCTCACAATAAACTCGTAAGTAGATAAATTATTGTACATGATACGTATAATCGCCTTATTTACTTTGACGATAGAGTGACGCGAGACAGAAATACATTTATATCTTTTTGTGTATACATGTTAATTTATTTAGAATTAACTTTACGATTAAACGCAGAGTAGGGCGACTTAACAGAGGAAAAGTATAAACGTTTATTATATTTCGTAGAAATTGTTTTACGCTTCCCCTTGTAATATACTGTGCTCGCGACTTCATTCTTGGGCGTATTAATTTTTTAAACAACCTCCTTAGGTTTTTCAATTCACAACGTCGTCCCCTAGTTTTTGCGTGTCAATCCATACTAATATATAAAGCTGAAGAGTTTGTTTGAACGCGCTAATCTCAGGAACTACTGGTTCGAACTGAAAAATTACTTTTGTGTTAGGTAGAGCATTTATCGAAGAAGGCTATAAGCTAAAGCATCGCGCTATGGCTAATAGAAGCGAAGAGGCCGCGAAAAATGTGAAGAAAAACGGGGGAGATTATTCCTCTTTGTGGGTTTCCGATGGGAACGCAGCGAAAAAGGTTCAAGACACTAAAAAAATATGTATGAAAGAATGATTCCTCTTTAAATAATCTAAATGTCCGCGACAACATATGTCTGTATTTTAAGATTAACTTGCAAGAGCCCGAACGACGGGCCGCGAGCGACGGGAGACGACTGATGTCGTGGATAACAGTTTAAATTTTTAAAGATGGAGTATAGGTTTACAAAGAACAAACCCAAAATAACTATTCCACGCGAACGAAGTCGCTGACGCGCTCGTCTTTAAGTTTTTTTAGCTTTTTTAGCTTCGCTGAGTTTTTTTCATAATTTAAAAAAGAATCATACTTTTTTTGTTATAGATAATTTTCCCTGATCTTTTTTCACAGTGTCACTGTGTCTTCGCTCCTTTCATTCATTTCGCCTTCGATAGCTTTAGCTATTTTTCCTTCCTCGATAAATGCTGTAACCGACATGGAAAAATCGAATTTGTACTTTCTGAGATTAGCGCGTTCAAACAAACAAATTCCGCTTTACAATATAAGTGTAGATAAATAATGTGTATAATTATCAACCACATAGCAGAAATTTTCATTCTTTATTATAAAGAATTTAAAATTATTATTAGGTATAGCGCTGTTTTTCTTCATATCAGTGGAAAACAGATAAGCGTGAGTTTCCTTGATAGAAAATGAAATTCCATAAAACCGAAATAAGATTCAGTGGAGACTTATTTTGACTTGTGACCAAGATTTTCGATATTAACCAGTCTTTCCGAAAATGACAGACATGTTTTATAAAACTTATACATTGATTGTTAGAGAGAGGTTGGACCCGTCGGGAGTCGAAACCAAGACTTACTGTTTATAAATAGCTAGCTAGTATTACTTTTTAGGTCGTATTATCATCAAATAATGTCGCTGTTTGTCTTCGCAAAGCTTGCGCTATTTTGCCAATTTACAACGAAGACTACTCGTACGCAAATTTGGTTCATATTGCCTCATTAGCTACATGGATTACGCGCTGAGAATATAATAGAAAATTAGCTGACATGTCGCGCAATGAGACATTCCAACAAGATCTAGTGCTCGCGACTTTAAAACCGAGCACTCTTTTTTTATATTTTAGCAGGATTTCATTCGATGCAGCGGGTACTAACCGCTCCTGCCTGCGTCTATCTAGTCTCCCGATGGGCCAAGCTGGCTAACCCCCACACTCACCCCGCCACTGTATTGTGGTCAGGCGGGGGCGTTGGTAGAAAAAAAGGATATCATTCGATATTTGGCTATTAAACGCCAAGTAGACTAAAATACAAAAAGTTCACGGCAGGCATTTTATCGAAATAACGAAATCGACTTACCCTCATAAATCGTATGAATTCTTGAATCACGTGAATATCGGAGGCCCTTGCGCGCCTGTGAAAATTGATTACGTTTTAGGTATCTATTATATTTGTATGTTGTAATATATGCCTCACAAACAAGACCTCGATGAAAAAAAGAAAAGATAAAGTGAAGAAATTCCGCAGCTATTTATTTAATGCATTTACATAAAAATATACATGATATTTATTAAGATTAATCAAACCCGATTATTGTAATCTCAGGAATCTATCAATGCTAATAAAAAAAGCTGTAGAGTTTGTTTGTTTGAACGCGTTTATCTCAGGAACAGGTAGGAATTAAAAATTATTTTTGTGTTGGTTAGAACATGTTATTAAAAAGGGTACATGCTATAACATATTGGGCTGAAAATCATAGGAGCAAAGAAAAATGGGAAATGTGGAGAAAACGGAGAAAATGATCTTTGTGGGTATCCGTTGTGTACGCTGAAAAAACTGTTCAAGATACCCCAAAAAAATATATAAAACTTAAAAATAATATTATATGTCTATCTTTTAAGATTAACTTGGAAGAACGACGAGACACGACTGAAGTCGTGGATGGTGGTCAATTTCGATGCAGCTAGTTCAAAATAACTTGAGTTTCCTTTTATTGTTATTTCGAAAATTTTGTCGTATCAACATTTTATGTTGTCCCAAACATAGCATTATCAGTCATATGAGAATAATCCTTTTGAACTGTTAAATATGATTCAATTAAAAATGTATGTAACGATTTATTGCAGAAGATATAAAATAGAAGCAGTTAAAATAAATTTAACATCACATAAAAAGCAGTTAATCAAACGGATCAAAAGATAAGCCACAAACGATTAGACTCCGTTTAGTATTTTATTTGCCACGTGAGGAAAAAGCATTAAGTTTTTGCATACACGTGACTTAAACTTAACAAATGTAGCACTTAACCTCGCATTCGAATAAGGACACGTTTAAACATTACGAGTGTGTTTCTTTATTATTGTTGGACTCATTTCATTTCCGCATTTTTCAATTAGATTTTGCACGGTGAGTATGAGAAAACTAGGCTAATTTTCGTCCATTGAATTTGAGTGTGACTGAGCACTTAAAAAAACATTTGTAGTGTATGTGTGTGTATGAAAAATTTCATTATGTCAATCAAGTTATATCGATTACGTAATTCTATTAAATAAATATTTTAACGGTTTCAAACGTGAAATATATTAGTTAAAATTAATTATATTTAATTGAGAATATATTGTACGTTTTAAGTGTTAAAGGGTTTTATTTAAATGTGTATTATTCATATTTTAATATTAGCGAAATTGTCTACTAGTTTTTTTTCTTTTTTATATTATAAAAAAAATGTAAAATTAATAGTTATATTTATATCTTTAAACAACCATCTAGATATTCTGGGGACTATGTCATAGGAACAAGAATCTAGAAATAGTTAGTATCTCATGTTTGAGTAGAAACAAATTTAAAATATACTGTTATAATATAATATCTTCGTTAGAACCCCTAAAAATTCAACGAAGATATTATAATAGTAACGCGGTGTGTGTTGTACGTATGTATTACGGTTTCTATCTTTAAACCGGACTCGGCTTATACATCACTATCGACGTCATACCTTTATGTTTAATACCGCGAAAACTGTCACAGGTTTTCACACGTTCCCGATTTCTGCGGTTTCATGACGTCGCCGACTTGTTTTGGAATCAAACAGGTTTTCGACGAAGCGCGAGACTTGTGTATACAATCTTTTAACATTCAAATAACACATCCTTTACACATATTTATAATCGCTAAAGCGGAATTTCCGGATTTTTAGGATTTTTTTGTTTTTAACTAAACTGTGGCCTCGAAAGTTCTATTGCTTTGCACAATAGTATGACTATTTAAATAAACACTAACAAAAATGTAGTACTAAATTATAGTTCTAGGACCCAGTCTGCTTCACCAAATACCTGGCTGGCCAGAGTAACAGATTCGACTTTGACATTCGGGATACCTTCCTTGTTCAAACCCCCCCCCTCAATCACGGTTGTTGCAAAGCATCCGAAACGCAATAATATGTCTGAAGTTTATGTAAGAAGAAACAAATAGTTGAAGCCATGAAGTTGAAGTATTCTCATGTCTTGCTGAATACAGCAAGGCATGAGAATACTTCTAACTTCTTCTTCTTCTGTGTGCGTCTTTAGACTGTATGTATATGTCTACACATATACATGAGAGTCTTCATACACATACACATCTCAAAAATGTGAATGTGTAATATAAATCAGAACGGGCAATTATTCCCATATATACAAGAAACTATGTGACATATAATATTACTATATTTGCTTGTGATTGATGTAACTGCCTGTCTCCCCTTCTCAATAGCCACCATAAATGATCCTTCCTATAATATACGATTATTGTATCTTAGGCTAACCGAATTCATACTTTCTTGTGGAGCTTAATTTAATTTAGTTATTTATTAATTATAACTATACTAATATTATGAAGTTTGTTTGTTTCGACGTGCTTATCCCGGAACTACTGGTATGGTTAGAGCATTTATCGAGGTAAGAACGAAGGAACAGTGAAAATATGAGAAAAAACGGGAAAAATAATTCATGTGTTAGGGTTGCGTCATCTTT